ATCTCTAATATACATTGTCTTGCAGTTAAGAAACAAGCCTAGTGATGCACCACCTCCTGCACCATACGATTTGATGCTCAAGCATCGCGAAAGAAGGGTCTATCAGAAGAAGGAACGATTCAGCTTAAGGTTGGTACCCTGTCACATCAACGATAAAATGATGTGCCACTTAGTAAATACCAGTGAGTCAGGCTTTTTAATAATGTTGCAATGAAAGAGTTACTCTTAAAGTACATTTAAAGCGAATACACAATTACACAAGATTTATGGTTTATGAAAATCTCACTTCAGGTCAGCCGGGATCCAGAAAGTGTGTATTACCATGTCAGAAAAACGTGTGTGCTGGCAAAGTGTGACAAGATCCTACCAAGGAATATAACAATCACCGAGCCTATCAGTGAACAGATGAGCGAAGTTCATAAGCGCCATCTATCTCGGGAATTTGGTGTTTTGGTATAGAAGTGTCCGTCGAGAGTTTTGTTAGAACTGTTGATATTATGATAATGACCAAATGCTAAAATGTAAAGGGGGTCACCTATGCCAGATAATAGGGACCGTAATCAATCACGAGGACTACGCTAAACAAAACGTCGATGAAAAAATTATCGTCTATATCTGTAACAAATTTACACAGTTTCAAAACGCTCGCGAAAGTTGTTTTAGTCATGAAACCTTTGGATTTGCAATGATGTTCACATTTATGTCGTTCTAGTTTGCTTAGCGTCCTTAATTCTGTAAAAGAATGTTCAAATTTGGCTTCTACCCCAACCCTCATACAAGGAGTTTATTTTCATGGAAGTTACAGATGTTGCAGGTTATGTCGGACACAACCAAATAAGGTGTATTTTCAAGTGTATCTTAGCAATTTGTTAAAACTACATTGATAGTCAACCATACAGTGCAAGAAGATTTCAGATGATTTAAGAATATAAATTTCTTTACTTGTTGTGAATTATGCTTTTTTCCTGAATCTCTTCCCTCATGCGTAAAGACAACAAATACATAACTCGTATGGGACGGGGTGCTGCTTTTCTTAATCTTGGTTTCCAAAGCAATAAAACTTCACATACCCAAGGAGATACATTGGCCATATGCAAAGCCGTTTATTTTCGATAGCAAGCTTAAAAAGCTAAATGAAAACCTACCAAAGTATATCCCAGCAAAGATGAGGGAAATCTCCAAGAAGATCCTTGTGAGGCGAGCTCGGCTTCTTTGTAATCTGTTTCCTGTAGAATTAAAGAAAAAGTAATGAAAACAGAAATGATCAAAGCCACATTGCATATCCTATACATCTTCTTTCATTCGCGTGATAAAATGGAACAAAGCTCGGTCCTGATGCATGGACTGCTAACAGCGATACCGAACAAGTACGTTTGGTTTTGAAGATTATAGTTATATAAAAAACTTTCAAATTATGCAAACGGTCTTGGTCTAAAAGGTGTCACTATTTCGTAACTACGGCTAGAATCATACCATGTTTCCATTGCTCAACTTAATGACAACTTAAGTCTTAAACATCAATGTACGCAGCAACAAACCGAAATCGGCAATTCACGATTGCAGCACAGTCGATAGTTAGCGAAGTAGACGTGTGTTGATAATTCACTAAGTTATTTTTCAGTTCTTCAGTGGAACTGAGGCCAAAATAACTTGTCAGCAAGTGCTGTTTTCTTACCTCGAAACTCTGGTCTTCCGCCATGTTGCTTTCTGCACAGACGAGGCTATTTTCCGTTCCATTCTCCTCTCAGGGCCTCGTTCCAAGTCCACTCGCGTGGAGCGAAGAAAAAGCCTCGTTTCGCGATCTCCAGAGAAGGAACTCCTCAAGTTCCAATACAATGTGTAACTTTAGCCATTTACTTGTTCAACCCTCAGTACAAAACCGGAAAGCATGGTCGATGGCAAGCATATGCCTGATTGTGGCGTAACCGGAAATAAAACAAAAAAGCCTAATGGAGTGTCTTAACTGTTTTTACTGCGTTTTCTGTGCCCTACGACCTGTGCCCTGTGCCCTGTAACCTGTGACCTGTGCCCTGTGACCTGTAACCTGTGACCTGTGCCCTGTGACCTGTGCCCTGTGACCTGTGACCTGTGCCCTGTGACCTGACCTGTGACCTGTGCCCTGCGTTTTGTACCTGCCGTGCATAAAACTAAGGTGACGTGCACGTGTCAACTGACCCTGGGGGCAATTAGCCAGCTGATTAGCGGTTGTTTGGGGCAAAATAACCTCAAAATAATCAATCTATTTTACAAGCGTTCGCGAGAACACCAGACTAACTTTCAGATAATGTTGAAGTACTATATCTCATTAGGAAGTAAGCGGGATTTTATGCAAATTACTTTTGAAAATTGTGCTCGTTCGTCGATATTTTATCCTCTAAATCTAAAAAAATGTGCTGTTTAGAAATTGTTAATATCTGTTTTTTGAGATTTAAGCGGAAGATTGCCAATATATTCGCTCGTTTATGAAAGTCAGCTCATTTCTGTCGCTAGGCTATATTGCCGTGTTCGGCGGCTAATTTTAGGTCCGCGGACCGTTGAAATCGAAAATCTTAAATAATTCCCAAACTCGGCCGCATTTTGAAATTTAAACCTCAGCAGTGTTATAAACTCATTAAAACCTTATTACAGACTGAAAATGAGGGTAAGTTAGGTTTTGAGCTGTGGCCACGATTTGCCGATTTTGCTCGATTTTTCTGTACATTCGCTCTTAAGAGCCAATGTCTGTAATTTTCGAGAATCGGTTGACAGTCGTGAATTTTTGAATTTCTTCATATTTCGGCCAAATAATCTCTATAGTACACTAATTTCAAAGATCACGTTAAAACTTGTAACTGCTTTTTATTTTTTCAGGAATCAGGCAAAGTTTGGTAAACTCTAAATCGGCGCTCTTTCGAGTATGAAATTAGCGAAAATTGAGCATTTTCTTCGCGCTTGTACTTAAAAACGAAATGATATCTCTAGATGAAATCAAGTCACAAAGCAGACAAACATTTTTACTTTATAATTCAGCAATTAACTTTAAATAAACCGTTTAAATGTGACTGTACCGGCCGCAAGAAGAAACACGGTTTTAGCACTTTTCAAAAATGGCAAATTTGACCTAACCTCACCATCGTAAAAACCCAGTTGGTACATAGAATTTCAATATGAAACAAGAACTGTATTGAAGGATATCCTTTGCTGTTGTTTGTGTTCAAATATTTCTGGCGGCATTCCAAATGCGCACCTTCGAGAGAACGCATGTTTTCTTTCCCTATTTGAGTTTCGGCTGGTACATCCTAAAATCAATTTTAGTTCGACATGTTTTGGAGAATATAACATATAAAACTAAAAAAAAAACAGTGTTAATTGTCATTTTATTTTTTCTTGTACCCTCGTGCGATGATTCATCCTTTTCTGTACGGTTGGGTGACCAGTTTCAGATCACACACGGGCTTTCATCACGCAACACAGCATTTAGTCCGAGGCTAAACGACGGAAGATTTCAGTAAACTGCGGCCACTTGCAGTTGAAACGACTGTGGTAAGTAAATTCTTAGAGATCTCGAATCCCAATTAGAGCTAACACGCCGTTTCTAGCGGCTTTATTTTAGGTGCAGAAACTTAAGGTCAATATTTACACTTAATGAGGACTTAATCTGAGCGTTGTCTTTTTCAGCTACTTGCGTGCAATCAAATGCAGTGTTAATCTACTTAGTTTTTTTTTATAACCATCAAATTGAAAAGCGTTTTTCAAAAGACTTTAAGAGCTTCCCGTAATGTGCCCCTCGTAAAAGAAGATAAGTTTGAAAAAACTTTTGTGTGCCAACGGTCGCGGCTAGCTTGTTTGAGCGTTCCAACGTGCGAAACTACCCTGCACGTTTCGGTGTCTCAGCGACGCACTTTTGTAATGCCGCCAAAAATTTTTTAACACAAAAAACGGCAAAGGATATGCCTTAAAATAGTGTTTGTTTCATGTTGAAATTCCATGTATCAATTGTTTTTTTCCATGGTGAAGTTAGGTCAAATTTGTCATTTTTGAAAAGAGCCGAAATCGTGTTTCTTCTTGCGTCCGACACGGCCACATTTAAGCAGCTTATCTAAAGATAATTGCTGAATTATGAAGCACAAGTCTATGTTTGCTTTGTGACTTGATTTCATTTAGAGATATCATCACGTTTTTATGTACGAGCGCGAAGAAAATGCTTAATTTTCGCTAATTTCATACTCGAAAGAGCGCCGATTTAGCGTTTTTCAAACTTTGCCCGATTCAGGAAAAAACAAAAAGCCGTTACAAGGTTTAATGTGATTTTTGAAACAAGTGTACTATAGATATTATGTGGGCAAAATACGAAGAAATTCAAAAATTCACGACTGTCAACCGATTCTCGAAAATTACAGACATTGGCTCTTAAAAACGTTGGCCCGATTTTTTCAAGTTTCAATCCATGTCCATCCTTGCCATCCGTAGGAACAACTATTGTCCAGTTAATTTTAATTTACCGAAGATATTTTCGCAATTTATAAAAGATTATTATATAAAAAAATATTCTTAAAGCTAAATACACTAATAAGAAATCCTGCTTACGGCTAAAAACAAAGACAATGATTGGAGAACAGATAGCCTTGCAATACTAAAACATTTCCAAGGCCCCCCTACAGTCGTTACTGGGGATTTCGAGGTTTTATGAACCGCGTACTGAACTGCAGAAAAGTATATCCGTAATCAATTACTAGCTTTCTGCTGTCGCGTATAAATTACGCGACAGTGGAAATCAACCTTTAGGCTAGTAATTAGAAAAATTAAGCAAATAGACTAGACTGCCGTGACATAGCCCCTTTACAAGGCAGGAATAGAGCTCGCCTTTGAAGGTGTTAACAAATATTTCACCTCTCTTTAACAACTGCATCGTTTAGTGGAGGTGGGTGCCTGGTTTGTCCAGGGGTTTCCACTTTTGGCAAACCCAGCCCCTGACGAGGAAAACAAAAACGGGAGAGAAAATGGAAAAGGGAGGAAACTCGCCTCACTCTCTCTTCGTTCTTTTCCCCTCGTTTCCTCCGTGTACGATTTAACTCACTCCCCACCATCCGAACACCGCACTCTACTAACTGACCGCCTGGAACAGGCTAGCCCCTGGTAAACCGCGCCTTCCAACCATGAGCCCCACGCAAATGGGACCAGGCACCTGCCAGACTGATTTATCAGAGGAAAAATAAGAGAGGAGGAGGGATGGGGGTAAAAGAATGAAAAGAATGATTTAAAGGCCAAACGAAGAGAGGGGCCGCCAGGAAACGCTGTCCTAAGCACATGGAGATGATGCAAGCAAGGCTAACCACGCTTGAGCCACCGCACTGACCGCTGACCGACAACACGCAACCGCTCTCCTTCTTGTTAACTGCGTTAAATTTCATTTAACTTCATTATAAAACCTGAAACGAATATTGTTTGTCGACAACTGCCAAAAGTAATCTGTGACAATCATAACAAATTTTAATTCTTTTTAAACGAGTCTTATTCGGTGCTTTGATCATTCCTTGTTACTGTACAGTGTACCATCCCGACAAGGAATACTCAATAAGCTTTCGTTAGAGTAAAGTACATTTTCTACAAGAAAAACAACGATTTCCTCTTGAATGTACATGTTATATTGTTCACCTACGATTCAATAATACCTTTTTGAAGACGTTTTTCAGAAGAAGAGGGGTTTTCAACTTGACAGATCACAGAGGCTTTCTTAGATAACTGCTGTTCATGTGTATTGGGACCTACAAAAACAGTAGTAACACAATTATTCTTTCCTTCAAAGCATCAGGGATGAAGGGAGATTAGCCAGCGTTTAACCGTCACTGAAACCGAGTTCTAAGCTATTTTTAATTTGGCTAAACCCTTCGATCTAAACATCGTTTACTATAAACAATGTTAAAATGCATGCAGTTCATTTTGTATATTTTATTCAGTCTAGCTTTAATGTGAAGTGCATTAGATCATACTCACATGTATTTCGCGCCATGGGTATTAAAATATTTATTACGCGGGATGACGTAGTCAGCCAGCGTCTAAAATTCGGTAACACATTCCTTTCGTCGTCTTGGGAGTCAAAAATTGCCTTGTTTTTTAACTTTCCCGTATCCCGTGCCCGTCCCGAAAAATTGTGTGGATTTTTATTAGCCGCAACGTTGAAGCACCTGCAAGTCAGGCTGGATTGCACAAGCCGAAAAAAGATACTGCGTCAGCAAATGAGGGAAAAGTAAGGTCACCGTGTAGAGGAGGACGAAGACTCAAGGCCGTGCTCTTAATACGGCGCAAGACTTGGCCTCGGGCGACTGAAAATATTGTCTAGGTGGCCCAGCCGGGCGACTTGCTGGTGTTGGTTTCCTGTCTCTGTTGAGTTACAGTCAAAAAGCTAAGAATGTCTAGAATTTATTGACTTGCCTAATCGTTGCTCTCTCGGTGGCTTCGCGGCCTTAAAAAGAACGCTCCGCTCGCTAAGAAACTCTTGAGGTCGACTTGTAAGTAGCAATAAGTAGCATGTCTATCAAAAAGCTTTAGGAAAATGTTGTTAAATCGGCCAGCGGGCACGCGTTGATGTTCAAAGGTTGTTTCACGTGAATTCACATGTAACGTAATCCTTGACTATGAACGTGACAAGCTGCACAGTTTTCGATAGTAACAGCTTTTCATAATAACATTGAAATTTTTTCTTCAAATTACGATTGTTCATTAGTTAGTTTTTCAAAACAAATTGTTACTTTTGCTCTGACAGGCGTGAAGTACGGTCGGCGACGCAAAACAATATTTTTGTATTTTGAAAAATCGCTGAATAAACAAGGGGTCGGTCTTTTATGTTCTTTAAATATTTTTACCTTTTTACCTGCTGTGTCTGCGAGGCTAAAACATAACTAAGATTGTTATTCCAGTAAAATACGATGCATAAAAAAGAAAAGAAACGACTATAGTAATTGTGATTGTTCTAGAATCGGGTATAAATCCCGCATTGTCTTTCGTGTCGTGACCAGGCATTACGTATCACGTACTAAAACTAAATACGAAAAAGCTAACCGAATCTACATTTGTCCCGAACATTTCACCGGTAATATAGAAAGAAAATACTTCCGTTTTGCGCTTAAACGACGACTTTACAACAAGATAATCTATTCAAAAGAGATAATGGTTTTAGGGCAGCCCGGGGGAGGCACTTCCTTATAAAGAGGCTAATGGGGATGTGCCGCTGGATGAGGTCGCATTTTCACGACTAGATTGACTATTAATGGGGTTCCATTTTCAAAAGAGTTACTACTTTTGGGGGTAAGAGAGCTGTTCATATTTACGGTTAGCAAACGTATCAGGATATTTGTACTGTAGGTGAAAAGTAAAGTGTTCTTCGTTCAATTTATTAAAAAAATGGGTCAATTCATTTTTTGATGACCTATTTAAAGGATTGATAAGTTAGATACGTAAATAGAAAGTGACTAAGTTGGCATCGCAAAAATTACATATTTGCTCAAGAGTGACTAATGTGGGGTCTACAATTGGCCACAGAAAAGACTATAATGGGGTAGGGGCTCTGAGAGGCCAGCGGCACATACCCAGCAAAAATTAACGCAAGTAACCCCCCGGGGGGCGCCGCGGTTTCGTTGAAATCATAACAGTTTTCCTGGAAAGCTCCACGGGATCTCATTCGATCTTAATAAGCGAATTTTCTTTTCAACCTAAATCAAAATGATTAGTAAAAAGAATAGTGCCCTTATTTTTGACCCCAAATTTACTTTGCCATTTAAAAAACATGAAATGTTCGGCGGCGTTGTCCGTGTTTCTCATATGGCGCGAAAACTTACTTTCATATGACAACGTGCCGATTTTTTTTTTTTTTCGCACGCTCAGGAGGTCAAAGGGATGTGATTTTTCATCAAAAAAATATTCACAGACTTCTGCTTGACTTGTTATTAATTTTTAATAATTAACTAACAGCTCATTGATTTATTAATTTGGGCGACCAACTTGGAGGCCCGGGCACCGCAGCTAAAAATGCTTCGGGAGCCCAAAGGGCTCCCTGAAGTTTCCCCTAGAGCACTTCCTTGAAGCCCTGTAGTTATTGGAAGTATGATACATTACATGCTATTGTTAAATGTGGAAGCGCATTTTTTGAGGACATTAGTAAAGGAATGCAAATTTTAGTGAACTACCCCATACTACTAAGATATATGGTGGTAATATTGATGTAAGTTTTGTTTTGAGTAGCAAAGGAACCCTTGTGTGTAACTCATCTTCTAGTGTATTAGTCCTTAACAGAACATCTCCGTCTCTCCTGCACACATTTGTTGCATACACTGCACAACTTTCCATTGCCATCCAACATACCCGTAATTCTTTCTTAAACCCACACATCCCGCGTAAGCGCCTTCGGGCGTCTTCTTGTTTAGTAACTGTTACTATCTAAACATCGCTAAACATCGTTAACTATAAACATTAAAATGGAAATCAGTTAAGTCGACTTAGCTTGACCTCGTAGAAATAAACGGAGCCACTGTTTTCCGATGAACTTTTGATGCAACAACAAACAACCAAATATGAAAATTTTCTGTTCAACTATGGAAAATTTTGAGGCCTAAAGATAATCAGGTTTACATGTATGGCAAAAATTACGATGATTTTTCTGTTTCCGTTTATACACTTTTCCTTTTAGACTGTTACCACAGTAGGGCGTTTAGATAACCACATGCAAAAGTTGACGGCAGTTTGACGTCTCGAAAAAGTAAAATTAACTTCGGGTTCTTTCAAAGTTATTGCATTTTTTTCCTAACTCTCACAATTTGTCAAAATTTGGCGAACTTTCCTAGTTGAGTTGAATTGTTAGGAACCTCATCCACATTTAAAAAGAGAGAGAAAAATTTGTATTTGTCAGGTTTTCACTCAAGGAATTGTAGCGCGATTGGACTATATTTTGGGCCAAAATGTGCTCAAAATTCTAAACACGCCTGATTGTAGCTTGAGAGTGTTATAAAGCACGTTCGAAATTGGGAGAGTAGGCTAGACGTGGCTGGAAGGCGCGGGTTTACCAGCCATGGGGGCGTAACTCTGTCTAAAAAGTGGTGGCCCCTAGCAGCCCGGACACCCACCTCAACTAAGAGATGCAGCTGTTAAGTGGGCAAAAAAACTGGCTATGTAAATCAAAGGCAAAGGGAAAATATAGAAAGCGAAAGAGAAGGATCAAAATAGATTGGCAGCTACTCTCGCTGAGAGAAATCCAGCGCGCACGAGCTGCTACGCCAACGAAAAGCACCACCACCGTCTTATTTCTTCAGTTATGCAGGTTAGGAAGACGCGCTTAGGGAACATAAGACCAGCTACAAAGGCCCCATTATACTATATTGGGAAAGTTTACATATACTCTGTCATATACACGCAATACAATACCAACCCTTACCTAAAAAAAGGAAAAGTAAAACTTTACCTTCATCTCGCAACAGTCTCGGATGTTTTGGAGTATTGCTTGAAGATAAAGGCCTTTTGCCTTTTTTTGAAGACTTCGATCTCTTTGCTGCGCCTGAGACTAAATCCAGCAAATACCAACATAATTAGGCTTTTGTCTAAATAACTGTTCCGAAGATACTTCATCCATTAACCGACCTTTAAAGTATTTGTTAACCATCCGGTACGGCCATGATTAAAGAGGTTTATACACAAATGTAGACGGAACAGTAAATATATAGAGGATATCATGGCTGCGCGGAGATACGGAATTTCTCTTCGAGGGTTGAAAAATATTTCACGAGTGAGCGTTGCGAACAAGTGAAATATTTTTTCAACACAAGAGAAATTTCGTATCTCCAAGTGGCCATGTAATGTTCTATTTATTATATAGACACCAATGAAATACCAAGCCATTTCACTTTAATAATTTTTTGGTGTGAAAGGCGCAAATTACTACGTAGCCATAGCAAGGAAGATATTGTCACATGTGAAGTTATCATGTTTTCGCGCGAAAGATCACCTGGTATTTCATTGGTGTTTATATAGTAAAACTATCTCTGCCATGTTCGTTCACACACTCTTGGCGCGAAATACCGCTGAGCATAAGCACCACAGACATACCAACATACTCTTAACGCTACATACCATGACAACTAATCCTGCTTGGGGCTAAAAGCGAACAAAATCTTTTGAGAGCAGGTATTTCTAAGGCTCCCGATTGTGGCAAATCTAGGGAAATGGAGGTCTCATGAATCGCGTCCATTTACAAAGGTATATCCATCATTAATAATGGCCGTTTTCACACTAGAGACGTCGGATCACCAATCTTGGAAAAACAGGCTCGTTTGTTAGTTAACGGACAAAGCTCTTCTGAAACAGTGGTAAGGAATTTTTCACCTTTCAAGTAAAGCTTAAACCGGAGTGCTTTTTGTCGGCAATTGACGTAGTTTGACCTGTGACATTGTGAAAGAATTTCGAGCTCTTTTCAGACGAGTGTTTTTCAGTGCCCCTACTATTCCTGGTTAATCCAATTGTCCAGCAAGGAATACTCAATAAGCTCTCGTTAGACTACGGTAAACGTTTTACATGAAAAACAAAGATTTACTCTTATAAATATTTTGTTCATTTTTCCAAGATTCAACTCAAGTGTACCTTTTTGAAGAGATTTCACAGAAGAAGAGGCTTTTACATCTTGACAAATCACAGCCGCTTTCTTAGATAAATCCTGCTCATCTGTATTGGAACCTACAAAAAATAGAAACAATTCTTTATCAACGTCGCAGACCCGTTGATTTAAACAGAGTTTAAGAGTTTCACCAATCCACTCCAATCGTGAAAAAGTTTGAGAGAATGCGAAGTTTATTTTTCAGCACACTTTTATTGGCGTCAGCGTTGTCGAATCGTAAGGTCTCTTATCGTCAGCATCGTTTCGATCGGGCTAGTTATGGCACAATGTTTCCAGGTGATTGAGACGATTCAGCATGTGTTTCGAAGATAGCAATGGCCTGGACCGAGTTGTTTGTAAGGCGATTAGTACAATGGTTAGTTACCATGACAACTCATGCTCTATTTACAGTTAAACTAGAAAAACAGATAAACATGTTTCTGTCCGCCACGATAATAATTTCTTAATTTACCCTTGGCAGTATTTATAGCACTTACGCTAGTGGGGCCGAGCAAATGACTGAAATAAATAACTCAAATCAAACATAACAGGGTTAAGAATCCCAACTGGCCGAAGGCAAACCAGCTGGCTACTTACAAGCGTGGTCGAGGATTTGAACTAGGGGCTATCGTGAACAAAGCCAGATAGCGGTCAGCGCGGGGCCACCGAATTGCTAGTCCAGCGCTCTGACCACTCGGCCTCGCTCCCTCCCATAACTCAACCTTGAACAATTGTCCGGAACAATTTAGCCCAACAACTTGGGGCGATTATGATGATCCAGACTAGAAAAATTGCGATAAAGTTTAAATGAACGCGAATTCATTTTGTTACTCAGGTTTTCACCACTGGTTGTTGTATGAGTTTGCGTAACTTCGTACGATTACCGTTAAACATGTTTCAAACAACTTAACCTTGAACAGAACTGAAGGATTTCTTTTACAGGCTACGTCCTATCATAGTTAATTGAGTGGAATGGTTATGAAACCCGTCAGACTCCTTTGTTATATGTTTTTGTGGACCTGAAAGTGCACAACGTTCAAAAGAATTCCTATCATTTTGATTGTATTGACCAATAAAAACGTTGCATTAATTTATTCCGTAACAATTTGCCAACAGAAAACAAAGGATTGTGCACTTTCAGGGTGCTTTGAACATAAACTGCAGCACTGTTGTTTTTATCATTGATGTTTGCCGCTTTTCATAACCAGTCTCCTCTAATAACTATGGTCCTATTTAGTAATCGTCCGGAACGACTTGCCCCAAAAACTGGCAGCGATTAATTAAGAGAATCCGGACGATTCTTTGGGAACCACGTATTAGGCAACCGTCACACGACGACAAAAGTAAAAAGTTTAATTAGCAAAACGACAACTCTGTTGCGATTTACTAATCAAAGAACACAGAACAGAAAATTTTTCTTCCTGTTTTTGCAAAAATTCAAGTCCAGAAACATTCGCATACATTTAACAAATTGTGCGAGTTGGAAAAATGGCGATGAAGTCTGAATGAACGCAACTTCATTGTATTACTCAGGTTTTCACTTCTGGTTGTTGTAGCTGCGTAACTCGCACATGCACAAACGTCAGTATTCTAAAACATAAAGACCAACCTAAATAACACTGTAAACATGTTACCTCCAGAAATGTTTAGCATTCGTTCCACAAGTCTATTACAGTCATCTCGCCAGTTGTGCTTCATAGCGTATTTTTCACGTAGGGTTTTACACTCGTCAAGTCGCATCTCTCTGTCTTTTTCACGGACCATTCTGATCGCATTGGCCCAATCTTTTGGATTTTCCGACATCACCACACAACTTGAACCAAACGAAACTTTCTTCAAAGCCTCGCCAAGACCAGAGTTCCCACTGACCAGCACAGGCAGACCAGCTGATAAAGCCTCAAGGGCAGCTAAACCGAATCCCTCAGTTCGTGATGGCATTATGGCAAGATCCACCTCACAAAACAACTGGGCAAGCTGCTCTCTGCTTTCATTAAAACGACGCACCTTGAGTTGACTGCGATGAATGCCTTGCTTGAGTAGCAAGTCGGCTACTCTTTCTTCTTCTCCGCTTGTTGCCCCGACAAACACAAGTTTGTAGGTCACGTCTTTCAACTCAGCAATGGCTTGAGCAGCGATATCATATCCCTTCAGCTGAAAATCTTCACTGTCGCTACGTCCAAACACTAAAACACTGAATGAACTTATTTCTTGAGAGGCTTGCTTTACATCAGCAAACTCAGAGAAAATGCCTGGGGTAAGATTGAGAACATCTTGATCTTTTCCACAAGGACGGAGATAACCTGAGAAAGCTGCAGCCAGCTTGGGTCCAACTGCTACAACTTGATCAGCTTTTTCACAGAGTTTTACCTCAGCCTGGTGCTTTTTCTCGCCTCTTGAAATGGCATCTGTGTAGGACTTAAACATACCAAGCTCTTCAGGGGCTGTATGAACGACCTGAATCCACTTGCACTTACACTGACGTTTTATACCCTGCACTTGCCGACCAAGAACAGCCCCATGTCCTATCACACAATCGACAGAATGGCTTTCAGGAAAAAAGGACAACCAGTCTACCGGGTTGTCATAACCTGGCATTTCTTCTGCTTCAATAAGATGTACATTGTGACTTGCAGCAACTCGTTTATCCTCTTCACTGCACTGGGGAAGATAAACGCTGACATCCACTTTGGGGTGTTTTGCCAACTGAATGGCCAGCTCTCGGTTGATGGTTGACAAGCCTCCTTTTGTTGATCTCCATTCACTGCTTAACAGAGTTACTCTCAATTTCCTGGAGGAAGTGGATCCTGAATCGATTTCATGGTCTTCCTGTGATGTAGAGGCTGTGCTTGGAAAGGATGAAAAATCCTAAAAAAAGAGTAACATTAATTTACTAAAGGATTTACTAAATGACGAGATACTAAATTCATACAAACTGTAATTACACAATGTAAGTTAAAAAACTCAAGGATAATAATTATTGTCTTTCATGTAAATTTGACTGAGATGAGGCACTTTGCTAAGAGTGTCTTAGCATCTGCTTAGACTGAGTTCCACACTGAGAACTGAGGACTATACATGTATCAATTACCCACTTAATTTCTTGAGTCCGGGGGAAGGGGAATCAGCAACCTTTTCAATATTCCACAAGATGTACCTAAAACAAGCTAAAGGGCCTGCAAAGCCATGGTGTAGCATAAAGCACCATGGAGTGAATATTACAACTCCATCCCCACCCCCTCTCTCCATCATGGATTGGATGATAGTCTACTCCCCTGGACAAGAAAGGTATTTAAAAGAAGCCAAAGGGCCTGCACAACAAGAGCTTATCTTAATTGGAGAGATGTGAAGCATCAAGAAAGGAATATTACAACTCCACCCCCTCCCCCCTAGATTGGATGGTAGTCCACCCCCATGGATGGGAGAGGTCCTTAAAACAAGCCAAAGGGTGTGCACAGTTAGGGAGTATCTTGATTGGAGATGCATGAAGCACCAAGGAGTATCAGAACTCACCCCCTTCCCCCTCCACCTATGGAATGGAATGCTAGTCCACCACTAGGGTTAGGTAAATTATGCCAGCATAATTTTGGGCATAATTCTATAGTCGGAGAATGAAGTAATGCCGGCACAATTGCCTTTTTTTTTCAGCATAGAGAGAATTATAATGAAAACAATCATAATACCGTAAAATTCCAAAAATAAGCCCCTCCATGTGTAAGCCCCTCCAAATATAAGCCCCCCAAACTTGTAACGCAAAAAAACCTCCGTTAAATCGCCCCTCCAAATATAAGCCCCCCGGGGGCTTGTACTTGGAAAATTGCCCTCAAATACAAAGTAACACAAAGCAAAAACCGTAAATTTACTACGAACTACAAGGCTAGCCTAATCGATTTTGAAATGCAAATTTCCCTCCGTAGATAAGCCCCTCTGAATATAAGCCCCTCCAAAAATAAGCCCCTCAAAAGAGGCCTTTGAAAAATATAAGCCCCGGGGCTTATTTTCACAATTTTACAGTATTTCCAAACTGTATTGAGAAATTTTTACTTTCAAGTGTTTTAGGGAGGATTAACATAGTCAAAGGCTTGATTGCTACTTTCAATGTCTTGTTGCACAGTTGTAACATTTTGTTAGGTTGCTAAGACTGGCCAATTACCTATCCATCATGGCTGCCAGTTTGAAGTTAGTAACTGATACAATTAAAATTAATGTTGCATACATGTCTGCCAAGATCAGTCAAGGATATTGCTACTTTTTGAACGTAATTGTTGTTGTCGTAGCTGTTGTTTTAAGGCTAAAGCTCAAAAGCATAATGCTACAATGCTAAAATTTTTAAGCACAGCATTGCCTCCAGCTGTACAGCTGTATGTTGCCATCAAACACAAAATAAATGATCTGGGTGAAGACTGTACATAATGTGATAAATATTTTCTTGTCTAAGAAAATCAGGTGATGGAACAGATAGCCTGGGCTATAATCAGAACTTCACTGATCCAGAGTCTGACATGATCTGATCATTTAACCTCTTCACCAACAAATTCAGAACCACAACTCAAACTTCTCATTAACCTCAAACCTTTCAGCTAGCTCTTAGAGTGAAGATACAATAATTATTACATCAAGAGCAACCAACCTTAACTGAACAATTATTCTATACGTAACTAACAGATGATCACTTTTTCAACTTACCTCCATTAGCCTGGACATCACAGAAATCCTAGAAATCTTTTAACCTTGGCGTGAACACTACAATACAAACAAAAAAGAAATGGTGCACATATTAAATGGTGTGATGCCATTTGACATGTTATTGATGTGGGAGTTTAATTTTGTCTACGGCTATTTTTTTTGTTATATTATTTTGCAGGAACAAACTTTTAGGATTGGTCCGGACTGGTTTTTCTCCATATGATTCGGTGTACAACTGCTTGTAACAAAGAAAACTCTAAACCAAACTATGTTGAAAACTGGTAAAACGTTCGTCCTGAGAACAAATTTTTACCTAAGTCAGTAAAGCAGAGGCCGTTTTTACAGTAATGTGTTTGTTGGGGGAGTGGGGGAGAGAGTCAGGTTTACTCTTTACAGCTGTGGATCTTGAAAGAAACCACAAAAACTAAAAAACCCAAAATAGAAAGCCACAATGTGAGATATAGATGAAGTAGTGGTACATGTAGACGGCATTTTTTAAATTTGCTTTACAACTAAACAATCTCATTCCTTTTAAAGGTGTATTTTTCAGAATATTAACTGCTTTTCATCCCAAATTTATTTAGCATTAATGCTTTTTTTGAATGAGTATTTATCCCCTGGGTATACTGACACAAGGAGGGGAGTCCTGGGCTCCACTGTCTGGGACAGCATCCAGAGCGTATTTTCAAGTGGGGTGACTTGAAAATGAGTGACAAAGGCGCAACGTTTGTAGAGGGGTCTGGGGGCATGCTCCCCCAGAAAAATTTTGAAATCTAGAGGCTCAGAAATGGCATTTTCAACATTCTCCATGAGCTATTTCTTTGTTTAAAAATGACAGGTTCTTCTAGCGCTTACAGTCATATCGTGGGGGTTTTGTAAACTTGATCAATAGTCATATTTCTCCACCTTCAGTATATCCCGCCGTTAGAACACTGGCCTGAGTTTTTACACAAGCTCCAAGTGTGGTAAGGAAGTGCACGCTGGCAAAATGTTAAAACCAGATAACTTCATCTGTGGTAATGTGTGATAATTTAACCAGACCTTTTTCCTTTTCTTTCCCTCTTCTTTACTCTTCATATGTGCCTCATACTAAAACAAAAAAAAATCCTCTAGAAAAGTGGGGAGGCTAAAGCCCCCACCCCCCACCCCCCCGGGCCCTGCCATCCATGTCATTTGGCTAAAATGAGCAGGGTAGGTTGAACAGGGTAAGGTTTGGGGGTCTTAAAGTGTTAAACAGGTTATACATTTTCAGTTTTTAGTTTTTTGAACAAGGTGCCTTTTTGTAGTTTCAGTTGCTATGCAACGGAAATCCACTTTGTTATCATGCAGTGTAAGTCTGTAATTCGGGGTGACCGACAAAACATGAATCGTAATTTTTGACCATCTCCGCTCAATTTCGTGCAGTCTTAGGTGTTATATCAAAGCGTTGAAGGTTTCCATTTCGCTCTGCTGACGAAACATTTGTCGTACTTTCAACCATTTTCGTTTGATTTCGTCCCAGGGGATATTCCCCTACAAAAGCAACGGGGGTGCTCATCGTATGTTTTAGGGGTTTAAATTTGTGGATTGGTACCATTTAGGGTGCTGAAACCTAATTAAATAACTGTTGCCAGATAAAGATTAATGACAATATTTACTTTCAAAAAGTCCTTGAAAGGAAAGTGTCCAAAAGTTATCTTTATACACATGTACTATTAAAATTTGCAGTGCCAGTAATATGAGTTGTTGTTGCTGGATTGGTACCTCTTAGGGGTGGAAATGAATTTTGGACATGTTGCAGTGAATTTTTTTTTTCAGTTAATTTTTGTTTTTCCTTTGTTTGAAATTCATTAGCAACATTGTCATAACCAAAAAGAATAGAAAAATAAAAATAAATCACGTCAAAAAATTATCTGCAAAAGACATGCCCATAAAACAAGATTCTGGTACCGTATAAGAGGTGTTCTCGAAATTTTCTGAGAGCACCCCCGTCACTTTTATAGGGGAGTACCACCCCCCACCCCTCCCCTCTACCCTTTTTATGCCTGCCATGCAGATTACAATCTGTTACACTTCCAGACTTCAGTGTAAACAATGGTCCACCGAAACTGACAGATCTCGAAAAAAGAACCCAGTCTCCAACCTTGGCATCTAAAATAAAACTCATGAGATAATATCATGAAACCTCTATCAATGCCCTGTGATCATTAGGTGATCTACATT